GTTTTATTTCTTTTCTTTTTCTGCTGATGGCCCACGCTCGACTTGAAGCAGCGCTGCTAGACCGATCGGTGTGTGACATCAAATTACCGCGAGAGCTATTAGAGAGTGCGGACGTCTCCTTATGCTTTCTCTTGCCGTACGTTGATGTCATACACCGATCGATCTTCAAGTCGAACACACTTCTTTACTCTCGCGTGTCACGTGACCGAGTGTAATCGCAGCCTTTTTCATATCACGATATTATCGCAAATGCAATTAATCGTTCAGCCCTAATTTTAATGGTTTAAATTTGAATTATCTTATTTTTCCTTTTACAACAATAGGGCCCTATTTTTTTCGGTGTTATGGCATAAAAAGTCATTTAATTTATCTTTTAATTTCAATCAAATTCAAATTAAACAAACCTTTTCATTTTTGTGGCAAAAATGTAGTGCTGTTAAACAGAGGTTTACTGTTAAAATTAAAACATGGAAGAAAATTTTTGTGATCATTCCCTAAAAATAATAATTTTATTAGTAGTAGTACTAAGTCCTATATTCTAGTCAGGGCCATATATGCCCAATGGTTACTTTTTGTCTAGGCTTCTACTGTAGTAGCTACTGTAGTTTCTTCAAGTTAAACCGAACTTTTATTTTGACGGGTTGCCGTGAAGAGAATTGTTTCTGTGTGTATATGACCTGACGGTAACGGTCAAACGCTCATGAAGAGATTCTCAGAGCAGTTCTGGAGATCTTGTTTATGTATTTATTAGTGCTGTCAAATGATTAATCGCGATTAATGGCATCCAAAATAAAAGTTTTTGTTTACATAATATATGTATGTGCACTGTGTATGTTTATTATGTATTTATAAATACACACACATGCATGTATATATTTTAGAAAAAATGTATATATTAAATATATTTATTTATAGTATAAATTATATCAATATAACTATAGGCATGTAAATACATGCTGTATTTGCTATGCTGTATGAGAGTGTATTTACAGTGTATATATACACAGAACACACACACGTATTACGTATTTTTATTTTGTATGCGATTAATCGTTTGACAGCACTAGTATTTATGTCTTCATTTAGTGAGAAGGCAGACGCTGAAAACATCGCTTCAGTATGTGTGTAGTAAACGAAACCGCGGGTCTGCACCATTCACACACATGCAGGATTCATATTTAAATTATCTTTTTTGCGGTTTAATATTCATGCATACAAGTCCATATCACCATTTGATTTAAGTGTACTGACCTACTTTTGATTGATTCGTTCAAAATTTGACAAATTCCCTGACATGCGTTGTTAATTGTACAGTAAATTGCGTTTTTATGACAGGATTGATTCTGGCATCATGAGGGTGAGTTTTGCACATTAGTTTTTAAGTCCGTTTTCAGGTCTGTTGTCTCAGCGGTTATGACAGAACCAATCAGTGCTTCCACGAATGCGCTTCTAGTAGGGATGTAACGATTAACTGCGAGCCGGTTGAAAATCGATTCAAATATGTGACGATTCAAATCGGTTGAGATGCTAAACAAATCGCGATTCAATTAGGGGTAGTTTATATGAATTAAGGCAAGATTTCAATCCACAGTCTTATCACAGTACTTCTTCAGGTTGGTTTTTTAAGACTTTTAAGTTACTGAGCAGTACAGCTAATTTAATTTTTCTTCATATATTTTTCACTTTCATTTTATTTATTATTTTATTTAATTGATTTGTTTATTTTTATAATTTCCTTTTATTTTCTAGTTTTATTTTATGCATTTATTTAATGTATAATATTTATATATTTTTACATTTTCATTTTATTATATCATTTTGTTTAATAGATTGTATATTTTTATAATTTCACTTTATTTTATCATTTCATTTATTTTATCGTTTTATTTTGTGTTTATTTATTTTTTCATGTTTATTCATTTACTTTTATAATTTCATTTTGTTTTGTTTTGTTTTTTGTATAATTTCATTTTATTTACATATTTTAAATTGCATTTTATTTATTTATTTTATTTTTATAATTTCATTTTTTATCATTTTATTTTATAGTTTTATTTTATGCATTATTGAATGTATAATATTTATATATTTTTACATTTTCATTTTAGTATATCATTTTGTTTAATAGATTATGTATTTTTATCATTTCATTTATTTTATCATTTTAATTTGTTCATTTATTTTTTTTCATGTTTATTCATTTACTTTTATAATTTCATTTTGTTTAGTTTTTTTGTATAATTTCATTTTATTTACCTATTTTAAATTGCATTTTTTTTATTTTTATAATTAAGTTTATCATTTTATTTTATGCATTTATTTAATGTATAATATTTATTTATTTTTACATTTTCATTTTATTATATCATTTTGTTTAATAGATTATGTATTTTTATCGTTTCATTTTTTATTTTATTTTTTTTTCATGTTTATTCATTTACTTTTATCATTTTGTTTTGATTTGTATAATTTCATTTTATTTACATATTTTAAATTTCATTTTATTTTTATAATGTCATTTTTTTTAATCATTTTATTTTACGTGTTTATTTATTTTCATAATTTTTATTCATTTACTTTTAGAATTTGTCCTAACCAGGCTTGACAGGATAAAATGACAAACAATTAATCCTCTCTGATCCATGTTAATGTATGAAAATTTTTATATTACAGTCTCTTGGTTGCCATTGGTCACATCATGCTGTGTAGCCACGCCCACTGCGCAAACTCATTGGTCTAAAAGCTCTACTTTAAAAATCATGTTCTGATTGGCTGTGATTGTGTCATATTATTTTTAATTTTTTTTTATTTTGCTTGAATTAAGGACAGACAAATCACTTGATGCTGACAGTGTTGCATTGCATCTGGTTAGGACTTGTTGGGTTTAGTGTTACCAGTAAATTAATTTCCTGTATTTATTTTCTGGACTTTATCTAGAAGATAGATCACTGTGTGTTTGAGTTAAAGGGTTTTTTCTTCTTTCCAGCTGGACCTCCGTTCACGCTCTACTTTGGGGTGAAATTTTATGCTGAAGATCCTTGTAAACTAAAAGAAGAAATTACACGGTGTGTTTTCTGTGCATCGTGAGCATAAATGAGCACTACAGTGATATTAGAGATGCAAGCATTCAGTCATTTGGTTAATATCTTGCTCTTGAAATGCTCTTTACTGTCTTCTGTCAGGTATGAGTTCTTCCTGCAGGTAAAGCAGGACGTCCTGCAGGGGAGGCTTCCCTGTCCGTTTAACATCAGCACACAGCTGGGAGCGCTTGCTATTCAATGTACGTACAAATTCACAAGTTGTACCAGGGAATTTAATACAGCAAATGTCATGTCAGTCTAGTTATTTTTACAGAAATAAAGAGTTACAGGCTTCCCAGCTTGTTTTATAAGATGCTCTCTAAGATTATTAAAATAAGTTGTTTTATGATTCATATTTTTCTGTAACATTAGAGTAAAATGTTATGTTGTGATAGTTGTAATTTTACACATTTGAATTTTAAATAAAAATGGTATAATTTGATCATTTTATTTTTATTTATTTTTTTATCATTTCATTTATTTATTTTAATTTATTTTAATTTACTTATTCGTGTTTTATAATTGTATTTATGTATATTTAATTTAATTTGTTTATTTTTTAGAATTATATAACTAGTTTTATAGTTTTATTTATTTCATAATTTCATTGTTTTGTAATTTGTTTATTTATTAATTTATTTGATTTATAATTTCATCTGATTTATATGTTTGTTTATTTTTATAATTTAATTTAATTTTTATAATTTAATTTTATTTATTTATTTTATAATTAGATTTTATTCATTTGTTTATTTTTATAATTTAATTAGATTTATTTTATAGTTTAATTTTGTTTAATTGTCTAGTTTTGTTTTATTTATTTATTTTATAATTAGATTTTATTCATTTGTTTATTTTTATAATTTAATTAGATTTATTTTATAGTTTAATTTTGTTTAATTGTCTAGTTTTGTTTTATTTATTTATTTTATAATTAGATTTTATTCATTTGTTTATTTTTATAATTTAATTAGATTTATTTTATAGTTTAATTTTGTTTAATTGTCTAGTTTTGTTTTATTTATTTATTTTATAATTTCATGTTATTTATTGTAATTTAATTATAATTATGAATTATATTTAAATATTTAATTTTATTATTTCTAGACTATTCCAGCATTACATTATATGCCGTTGTGTCTCTCTGTCTTTTCCTACAGCTGAGCTCGGAGATTACGACCCGTACAAACACACGCCAGGTTACGTGTCTGAATATCGCTTTGTCCCCGACCAGAAAGAGGAGCTAGAGGACAGCATCGAACAGATTCATAAAACGCTCATGTAAGACAATAAAACACAGAACATCACACACCTTAATCCGTCATAATCCCGTTCCAGATTAGATCAAACACCACACTCCTGTTTAACTCTTAGACATGTATAAGCTCACCTGTGTGCACCTGTCCCATCACTGACGATAACAGAGCAGCTCAAAGAAGCAAACCGGCAGGAGATAATTGTTAATGTGTAACTTTCCTTACCAAAACAGTGTGACACTACTATACAAGGATGAGCAATGTATGGCAAAAATAGCATATCATTCAAATATTTTTATTATTATTATTTCCATGCAGGATTGCAACCTTTTAAGACTGTTTTACAAGTTATTGAGCAGTACAGCCAATTTAAATGTATTTAAATTTTTTACATTTAATTAAAATAATTAAACATTTTACTTTAATTTTATAATTTCGTGTATTTGTGTTTTTAAATTTTCATTTATTTTAGCATTTTTTATCATTTTTATTTATTTTATATTATTTTTTTCTTTTTATATTTTACATTTTGTTTATTTTTTATAATTTTATTAAATTAACTTGTTATATAATTAAATTTTATTTAATCATTAATTTATCTTATGATTTCATTATTCTATAATTATTTATTTTTATTATAGTTTCATTTTATTTATTTGTGTCATTTTATTTTGTTTATTGAGCCATACAGCCAAATTAAATTAATAAAATTATTTAAAAATTTAATTATTAAAATGATTAAAACTATATATTTATACGAGGTAGCAAAATATAAAAGAAAAAAGAATGACAGACCATTTAGACCCAAAGTAGGGATGTGCAATATGAACAAAATCTTATTTCACTTTATTTAATTTCATTATTTTAAAAATGGGATGAACAATATGACAATTATTATTTAATATGATTAAATGATTACATTTCATATTATTATTTAATATGAAAGATGCAAATTAAATAAACTTACATTAGTTTCATGTACAGTAAGCCTATTTAACAGCCGTATTCAAGTAAGAAATTGAATAATCAAATGTAAAAAATAAAACGCTGAAACTATCTGAAATAAGTTTACCTTTTTATGTCATTTTATTTCAGTAATAAAAATGTTTTTTTTATGGTTTTAGTTTTAGTTATTAATAATGCTGCATTAAAACAATGATCAGCTGTATTTTTTATTAACAATAGTTAAGTGATGAAAAAAGTGCTCATTAGTTCATTTTAGTTAATGCATCAACTAATGTTAAAGGCGTCATATGATGCTGCTAAAAAGAACATTATGTTGTGTATTTGGTGTAATGAAATGTGTTTATGCGGTTTAAGGTTCAAAAAACACATTATTTTCCACTAGTTACTTGAAAAAAGTAATCTGATTACGTAACTCGCGTTACTTGCTATGCGTTACCCCCAACACTGGTTATGTCTATCTTTAGGAAATATCAGTTTACATTTCCAAACACTCTTTTTTCCATTAATTGTAATAATCCAGTGAGATTTTTGTGCTCCACAGAGATCTGATCTGATCATCATCATCCAGTCTGTCTGGAGTGACATGAAGAAACAGAACAAACTGAGACAGACTCAATCCAGAAGAACTGACGCTTCAAGAAACCTACCTGTAAAGCTCCTGAAAAACTCTGCTCAAGTGCACCGAGGGCAAAAACTGCTTTAAACGCAAAGGATGCTCACACCAAATGTTGATTTCATTTAGTTAATAGAAGTTAATTGATAAAGAAAATCTATTTATGACATTATTTTTGACAGCATCCTCATTTTACAGCATTTCTACACAAGTGCCTAAAACTTTTAACAGCACTGTAGCTCTTGCAGGAAGGTTTCTTGAAGCATCAGTTCTTCTGGATTGAGTCTGTCTCAGTTTGTTCTGTTTCTTCAAAGATAGAAATAAGTGACTTAAAACCATTTTTTAGCTGCTGAAAATACTAGCGTTCTAATCATTTTGGCCTCCTTTGTAGGTTTGGTGTGTGTATACATCTATACTTATGATTTATATATTTATGATTTATGTAAGTATGTATTATTTATTTAATTTAATAAATTATATATTTAATTATTTATATCTATATAAAATGCTGTAAAAATTAGTTAAATATATACATATTTTTACAATTATTTTATTTATATATTATTATATTTATA